ATGTTCTGGGTGGCTAGGTAAAAATTGGAGGTTTCATCTAGAAGGACAACAGACACTAGAAGACAATAATCTCTGCTAATTTCTATTAATAATATATGTAAATAAATTTCTTTTGAAATGTAATTTTAATCTCCTTGAGCTCTAAGTCAAATTTTTGGAATTTCTTAGAGTTTGCAAGTCCAATATTCACAGAATAGCTAGTTAAATGAAGATCAAGTAATTAGCTTATTAACAGCTGGGCAAGACCAAATAACTCCCCAGGCACATGACTCTCTGTTAAGAGCTGCACTGGAGATAATTCAGCTTGAACCTGTGCCTCCTACTCTTGCACTGTATCTCAACCTTGGGACCCACTTCTGCCTGCACAGAAGACTTAAAGTTCACTTGCAATGAGTAGCATGGACTTCAAGTATTTCTCAAATGTCTGGTTGCCAGTGGAATACGGAGAGAAGAGGGTGGGCTTCCTTTCCAAGAATTGAGGCCCTGCATGGTCTCTTGACATTATAGAGAAAAGAAGCCTGAGATGTACGTGGACAGGTCAGAGAATAAAAGGAAAGCCTGCTGTCCCCTTTTGCCCAATAAACATAGAATTCTGGCTTCAGTTTCTTTCCCCCCCGTGTTGGGGAAAGTCAGTAAAGGAATGGAGAGTGAGAGACGAAATATTTGTTCTAGAGCTCCCAAAGAGGGTGGGGTTGGGGGGGTAGGAATCTCCTCTTCTGTGGGCCGAAGTGAGAATGTAGTGAGAGAAGAAAAAGGGTTTTTCCTAACCAAAATAATTATTAGAAAAGTGGAATCTAAAACATTTTTTTTTTAAAAAAAGAGGATGATGAGTGTCCTGAGTTGTATAATTAATTGACTCAAATATGCTTTATTTGAGTAATATGGCCTTATTTAAGCACATATGATATTTTTATGAAGCCTCAGCACAAAGAAAATAAGCAATGAAGAAAAGCAAAATGACAGATGTTTTCAAATATGCAATAGGATGCTTTAGGGAAATGAAGGAGAATGCCACCTAAGGACAGTGGTAGAGAAGGCTGGAAGGGCAGGTGACTGGAGAAGGGCTAAGAGGTTAGGGTAGGGCTGAGGTTTGGGAGCCACAGCAGTGTTGTCTTCTACAGAGACTTGTCATAGGGGAGTGTTCCTCAGGCTTCTGGCACACCCAGAGGTAATGGAAGAGCAGTTCACAAAAAGACTATTTTAAGTGTGGGCACAGTTAGAAAAAACAAGGGGTGATGAAGTGCTCAGGAGCCAACAACAGTGGGGAGACCCTACAGGAGCAATGGTACAAAGTAGTCACTGGAATCTGGCAAAAGCTTTAGCTGTCGGTGAGGGGTTAGGTGGAGAATCACTGAGTCAGTGGAAGAAGAAGCTGGGGGATAAATACTCTAACTTCTTTCTGTCTCCCCTCACCCTCCCAAGTTCTGCTGGTGCCTCCAGGACAAACTCAACTAGACGCCAGAGGTAAGGAATCCCAGTCAGTATGGTCATAGAGAGCAGCCTCCTAGGGTCTTTGGCGGGATAGCGAAGGATCAGGAAGGTGAAATGGAGAATAGCCTGCACAATATTTTGGTGGAATGCAAGGGAGGAAGTGTTGGGGAAGAAGCTGTATTAAATTTCCTGCAGCAGTTTAATAAATTAATTGCCCTCAAACATTCATTGAGCAATTGCTCTGCCTGGTGTTGGGGATACCAAATAAACAGAGACCCTGTTTGGTCTTGAGAGGATCATAAGCCAGCAGAGTCGTGATTCTAATGTTAGATGGTGGAGACTTTGGAAGACAGGAATAGCAAAAGACAGCTCTGCCTGATGGAGTCAGTGAAACTGTCCCCAGAAGGAGATGACTTTTGAGCTGGATATTGAGTTTGTATAGAGGATCATTAGGTAGAGGAGAGTATTAAATCTCCCTGGTATGGAGAAGGGTGCAGATGCTGTGAGAATATGGGGAGAAGGTACAGGTCAGGGGAGGAAGATGACACAGAATCTGATGATCTTTGCGAACTAGACCGAAGAGTTTGGATTTTATCCTTTACATTGGCAATGGGAGTTAACAGAGGCTTATAAAAGACATTGCTTTTTTTAAGGATGGGGGAACTGATAATGGGTGCTTTTCCTAGCAACTTCTTTTCTTGGTATGCTTTCCTTCTTTTTCCTCTCATTTTTTTTCCTTCACTTCTCTTCACCATTCACCATATTTTTTTCCATTGTTGTGTTTCTGGTAGATGAAACCTCCAAGGTTAAGGGGGTAGTTACAGTAGATTTGATGTAGGGAAAAGAAAAGGAAACATTCCAGGTCTTTAAAAAATTTCTACTTCAGTTGCCAGTAGGGGTTTAATTTGTGGATGGTAGAAATACTGAGGATGCTGGCACAGAAATTAAAATGCTTAATAAACCAATGCTTAGTGGTCTACCACAACAAAATAAAAATGAGATGTGACACATGAAAACTTGAAAACTTGTCTTGAAATACTATTCATATTCCCTGATGTGTATTATTGTAGACTGAAAAAATAAAAATACAAACATATACTCTCACATTACTTTCCCACACATTGATCTGCAAAGAGAAAACTCTTCAAGACTTTGGGGAGAAAGTCCATTACTGAATCTAACAACCATCTTCTATCTGCGCTTTTATTTTATATACCCTTTACACCTGTTTAATTAATCCTAAACATGAGGCTGACTGCTAATTAAACAGCCTGGAAGTGACTGACTGAAGGTAGTAATTTGAGATAATTAGTTTTGGTTTCAAACACTCAATTTTCACACTTTCTGCTCATTTTTAGAAAGGGTGGCTCATTATTATAGGCAGGGTGGGAGTTGCGTAAGTAATTTTACTGCTGGACTCTTAGTAGCTCAGGAAGTGGGAGTATCGGTATCCAAATAGGACAAAGAAATGGTATAGTGCTATAGAATTTGTTATAGAATGCTCCCCTATTCCCTTCCCCCCACACAACCCATACTTGCACATACACAGAATTTATTCTAAAGTGAAAGTCAGATGGCTAACTTACTTTCATTAGAATATAGGAATGCACATGCTTTTGATATTTGGGAAATTTTTACCTAGTAAGACTTAGATCTCACTAAGTTATCTACGGTTTCCTTCCCAGATCCTCTGAAAACAAACAAGAAAAGGTGAAAAAGGGCAAGATTTGGTGTGTGGTTTGAGATTTGGAGGGGTGTCCTTGAGAGTAGTTATGTACTATGGAGGCACAAAATCTAACCAGGAGAGGCTGGGTGCGGTGGCTCATGCCTGTAATCCCAGCACTTTGGGAGGCCAAGGCGGGTGGATCACGAGATCGGAGATCGAGACCATCCTGGCTAACATAGTGAAACTCCGTTTCTACTAAAAATACAAAAAATTAGCTGGGTGTAGTGGCGGGCGCCTGCAGTCCCAGCTACTTGGAAGGCTGAGGCAGGAGAATGGCGTGAACCTGGGAGGCAGAGCTTGCGGTGAGCCGAGATTGCGCCACTGCACTCCAGTCTGGGTGACAGAGCGAGGCTCCTTCTCAAAAAAAAAAAAAAAAAAAAATCTCTAACCAGGGGAAAAATTTGTCAAGATCAGGCCAGTATATCTGGCAGAGAAGGCAAAGGGCAGGATGAGATGGGTCAGATGTTTTTCACGGTCCCACAGTGTTAACAAGTAAGTTAACACGGTCCCCACTAGGAGAACAGAACCAGAAAGAATTTGGGGTTAAATGGGCCACGCTATTCTGGGTACTCACTGTTATGGCTAATGTAGGTGGATCCAAGTTACACGGAAGCCGAATGAATATTCAGCACCCTGGACAGCTCCAAGCACATTGCTCTGCTGCTGCTGCTCCCGGGGTGACTTTTATATTTTAGGGACTTCACTGTCATTTCACTGGCCACCAGTATGGAATAGGACTCTCTAGACTTAGGAAGGTTATTTAGATGTTGAGAGCTTTACAAATACATCAAAGATGGAGTTGAAACGTCTATATAGATTGGGAATCATTTGTCTAGACTGTGGTGGGGACTATTGGATCCCAGAGTGTGCAGCCCTGTGGGGAAAGATGGAACTGCAACCTCTGACATCCTCTGAGCACTGATGTTAGCTGCAGCAAGTGATGTAGCACACTGTTAATTTTTTTATGTACAAGTCAAACCTGCATCTTCAACCAAGCTACCTGAATTAGGGCGTCTTGGAGTCATTTTGACCTCTGAACTTTCACTCATACCACGGCATGGCAGCAGAGGGGTTACTAGACACAACCACATAGCCCACTCTCCTACATTATTGAGAAATGACATAAGATTCCTCGTTTTGAAAAATTTCTGGCAATTCACCCCATTAAAAGAAAATTAGTCTCTTCTTCTAAAGAATGTATGGTCTGGATTCCCTTTTCTGTGATGTTTTGGATGGGGTTAGAAAGATTTTTCTATAAGAGGATATGTGGTTGCTGGCAATTCTCAAATCTTTTTGTGGCACTCTGATTATATCAATAAACAGTCAATAGACTTGTAAAACTATATATTTAAAATAATTTACTAAAAATGTAGTCTTAAGACTGCAATGGCATCAAGAGTAAAAAAATCTCATATTAAATTCCCTGTTAGTTATTGTATAGCATTCATGTCCTATAAAACCAAAGCCAGTTTCAGAGGTGACCTTTTCTGATGCATATACCTTCGTTTTTCTCTTGTTTCTGCACCAGAGCTTATCATGTACAGACTAAAAAAGCAACATCAACAAAAAGCACAAATGTTTTGCTTTGGCTCCAGAAACAATGGAAACTAAAGCAAACTGAAATTCTTTCTCACTGTTTAGAAATATTGTGCATTGAGAGAAAGTAAGCCTATAGATCATTCAAAAATACTTTCTAATTAACTTGGTAGTCATAAAACTGTATTTTGGCTTCAGGCTGATACGTCTAGGTTTCTGGTATAGCCTTGGCTGTTTAGCTCGTATGACAATCCATCATTCTTCAAGATTCTTCTTGGGTTGAAATGACCCATCGTTTGTTTTGCAGATACCTCAAATCAGCTATGCATCCACAGCCCCAGAGCTAAGTGATAACACCAGGTATGACTTTTTCTCTCGAGTGGTCCCGCCTGACTCCTACCAAGCCCAAGCCATGGTGGACATCGTGACAGCACTGGGATGGAATTACGTGTCGACACTGGCTTCTGAGGGGAACTATGGTGAGAGCGGTGTGGAGGCCTTCACTCAGATCTCGAGGGAGATTGGTAAGCATATATTTATCAGATGATTGTATTTGGAGGTAACAGGTTGCTGATGCTTGAGCATCTCCAAGTGCTCTCTTATCTGTAGGGAATAATTAGAACTCCTACAAATGCATGAACTAGGCTGTCCACTCTAGAGGGAAGCTGGGTTTATTATAAATGATTTTGTTGTTCATAGGCCTATCAAGGTGACATTTTGGTGCTAATTTAGGAAGTAGGGCTCCTGACTCAAGTGAACATTTTTTAAAGTTGTCTGTTTTGACAAGGGAGTTTGCTGGCACATTAGAGGCACTGTAAATTTGAATAAATGACATAGTATTTGATTGTTCTAGATGGAAGTTTACATTAGCAAGTCATTAAATTAAAAAAAAAAGTCAGTGGAATTTAACATCCAACACTAGAGGGATTAAGTCTAGTAATCATCTTAAAACAATGCTGAAGTAGCCCCCAAGGCTATACTTAAGCAATATTCTTATTGTCATGTTTGACTTTTTGCATTTTTATTCTTAACGAAAACTCTGAAGCTTAGGGTGTGGTGAAGGGCAAGATGTAAAAACTTGTTTACAACAAGGTACTGCTGACCTCCATCCTGGGCTTTTTTTCAAGGTGCTTATTCAAGTGTCTAGGCATTTCACCATCTTGTATATGTACCAATGAGGTTATAAATCCATTCTACTACTTTAAAAACAGAGCAAAACAGAGGAACAGGACTTAGAGCACAGATCTTAACTGCTGATTTGTCAACAACGTATCTTTGTGAATGAAATATGTTATTGTTACTTAAGTACTATTATTCTTATTAAGAATGAATGAATTTTTCTATAAGTAATAATATTTTGTGGAAAGATTAAAGTGTCCATTGATTGTTTTTCAGTAATTTTGAGCCTGTAGAAAGACATTATGTTGATAAATTTATTGTTTTTCTTAGAGGCCTCGACTCAGAAAAAGATCATGGGAGTGATTTGGGCTTAACCATAATTACCAAGGACAAAAAGTCTGATGTTATTGAAATAGGATTTTCACTTGAGAGACTTGCAGATGACTGCAAGCTTTTCTGTACATAGTAGGGCATAGAAAATTATAATACACAATATTTAGTATCTTTAACATTTGTTCTACATTTGTGCTATTGCAGAAAATGTATAAAAGGCCTGGTCTTGTTGGACAGATTGGGCTAATTGATTTAATTGGACAACTGTTCACACCTGCTGTAAGTGTGCATGATGCCATAATCTTTGCTCTCTGGGAATTTATATCATTATTGCTATAAAATGGATTCAAAACATTCAATTGATCTTTAAATTATGACAAATTATATTACCTTCTTGGATAAAAATCTAAAGTTCATCTTTAGAGGAAATGCCCACTCAAATGAAAACAATAGCTTCTGGAAATAGCATTAATGTATTATTTAAGGAACTGATGTCAGTTCTTACCAGAGTGATAATTCAACAAGAGAAGGAAACTAATAAAGTATGTATTGAAATAAGTTTTCTGCAGTGATCCTGGACATTCTACAACTTGAGGACACATTTTGTGTGCTTGAGATAGATTACTATAAAAAATTCAAAACAGGACATAATCTTCCAATTGTTGCAGAATCTGACAAAATGCATTGTTCTAAAAGTTAAGTGAAACCACAGTTTTATTCTTTTGACTAAAATAAGAAATACTTAGCTTTTATTTTTTAGGGAGCATTGCTATGCTTTGGTAATACTGTCACATAAAAGGATTTAGATGGTGCCATTCATTATTCCTGTTTCTATCATAGTCATTAGCATGGGAGAAAATAATTTTGGTGCCTTGTATATGCTCTTGATTAGAGCAACACATTCCTTCTGTGTTGATCTTTTCAGTATTCTGTGACTTGATTGGTTGTCCATTCTATTTCAGTTCTTACTTATCTGGGGAATGGAGGAGGGATGGATTGTCAATTAATATGCAGAATACTGAAAAGGCCAAATTAGTACCACACTGGAGTATGCCATGGAATATATTAAATATCAAAATCATCCCTCATTTTAATGACAAAGATTTTTATCTAGAACAAAAATAGCTGAAAATTAAACCTTTTATAAGACAATGATATTAATGGGAATGGCAAATGGTAGCAACTTAACCCATTCTGAAATTATCTGATGTCTCTAATGAAAATTCATTAGTTCTAAAACATTTGCAGCTCTTACTACAACACTGATGACATCTGTCACCATGTTAGTAGTGTGTTTTTAAAAAAACCTCAGTAGCTTGACTGAAGGAGATGTATACATTAATTTAGTTTGGAGTGTCTGCCCATTAATAAAATTGTATATTTCCCCAAGTCATAATGTTCTCTGTCCTTTGTTCTGAATTTCTCTTTAGCAACATTGATTACTAAGAAATTTCAGTGTAAATTTAGGCTTCCTCTGTCTTACCTCTCATTAACTCAAGCAGATCATAATGGAGTGATGGTGAAATGAAAATTGGTTTAGTGATAAATTGCTTCTAGAATGGTTTTCATTTTAACAAAATCAGACTTGGGGAAATCTCCTTTGTTAATCTGGGAGAATGAAGTTTATGAGTGTATGGTGGTCATGATCAGACCTCAGTGATGGCTCTTCCCTAGTTGAGATCTTTCTGAAGGGGAGAGGGCCAGGAGAAGCTTGATAAAGACAAATATCCCCTTGATATCCCAGCTGTTGTAGTGTCATCCCAAGGCATCTCTTGACTATAGGATTATTGCTGGAGAAGGAAAAAAACATTATTTGGTATCAGCAAATAGCACAGTTTTACTGACTGGAGCATAGTTTGTATAGTGAAGTATGGGAGACAAAATTGGAAGGCTTGACATAGACACATGATTATTTCAAATCATAGGTTGTTTATTTTATCCTTAGTTTTCTAGACAATGGAGGTGTGCTAGGCCATTCTGCATTGCTATAAAGAAATCCCTGAAAGTGAGTAATTTATGAGAAAAGAGGTTTAATTGGCTCATGGTTCTGTGGGCTGTACAGGAAGCATAGTGGCATCCACTTCTGGGGAGGCTTCAGGAGGCTTACAATCATGGCAGAAGGTGAAGCAGGAGCAAAGGAAGGAGGTGCAGCACACTTTTAAATGACCAAATTTTGTGAGAACTCACTATCTTGAAGACAGCACCAGGTGACGAGAGATCCTCCCCATGACCCAAACACCTTCCACCAGGCCCTGCCTCCATCACTGGGGATTACATTTCGACGTGAGATTTGGGTGGGGATAAATATCCAAACTATATCATTCCACCTTGGTTCCTCTCAAATCTCATGTCCTTTTCACATTGCAAAATACAATTATGCCTTCCCAATAGTCCCCACAAATGTCAACTCATTGTAGCATTAACTCAAAAGTCCAGGCTGGGTGTGATGGCTCATGCCTGTAATCCCAGCACTTTGGGAGGCTGAGGTGGAGTTTGGGACCAGCCTGGCCAACATGGTGAAACCCAGTCTCTACTAAAAATTAGCCAGGCATGGAGGCATGTACCTGCTGTCCCAGCTACTTGGGAGGTTGAGGCAGGAGAATTGCTTGAACCTGGGAGGTGGAGGTTGCAGTGAGCTGACATTACACCAATGCACTTCAACCTGGGTTACAGACCAAGACTCCATCTCAAAAAAAAAAAAAAGATATCCGAGTTCAAAGTCTCATCTGAGACAAAGCAAGTCCTTTCCACCTATGAGCCTGTAAAATAAAAAACAAGTTATTTACTCTAAAGATACAATGTGAGTAGAGGCATTGGATAAACATTCCTATTCCAAAAGGAAGAAATTGCCAAAACAAAGGGGCTGCAGGCTCCATGCAAGTTCAAAACTTCGAAACACAGCAGGGAAGTTATTACATCTTAAAGCTCCAAAATGGTTTCCTTTGACTCCATGTCCCACATCCAGGGCACACTGTTGTGAGGGGTGGGCTCCCAAGGCCTTAGGCAGCTCCACCCCTGTGGCTTTTCAGGGTTCAGCCCTTGTGTCTTCTCTCATAAGGTGTTGAGTACCTGCAGCTATTCCAGGCACCGGGTGCAAACTGCTGGTGGATCTACTATTCTGGAGTCTGGAGGATGGCCTCTTTCTAACAGCTCCATTTGGCAGTGCCCCATTGGGGACTCTGTGTGGGGGCTCCAACTCCACATTTCCCCTTGGCAATGCCCTTGTAGAGGTTTTCTGTGAGGGCTCTGCCCCATCAGCAGGCTTCTGCCTGGGTGCCTAGGCTTTTCCATACATCCTCTGAAATGTAGGCAAAGGGTGCCAAGCCTCATCACTCTTGCACTCTGTGCACTTGCAAGCTTAATGCCACATGGAGGCTGCCAAGGTTTATAGTGGCTCATACTCTCCAGAGCACTGGCATGAGCAATATCTGAGGCCCTTTGAGCCAAGGCTAGAGCTGGAGTGGCTGGGATGTGGGTAACAGTGTCCTGAGGCTGCACAGGGCAATGGGGCCCTGGACCTGGCCCATGAAAGGACTCTTCCCTCCTATGCCTCTAGGCTGTGATAGGAGGGACTGCTATGAAGGTCTCTGAAATGCCATGGAGGCCTTTCCCCCATTGTCTTAGATATTAGGACTTGGCTCCTTTTAGTTATGCAAATATCTCTAGCAAGTGGTTGCTCCACAGCCTGCTTGAATTCCTCTCTTGAAAAAGCTTTTTCTTTCTCTGCCCCATGGCTATGGTATAAATTTTCCAAACTTTTATACCCTGCTTCCCTTTTAAATATAAGTTGCAGCTTTAAGTCATTCCTTTGCTCCCACATCTGAATGTAGGTTATTAAAAGCAGCCAGGCCACATTTTGAATGATTTGCTGCATAGAAATTTCTTCTGCCGTATACCCTAGGTCATTATTTTCAAGTTCAAACTTCCACAGAGCCCTAAGGCATGAAGAGAATGCAGCCAAGCTGTTTGCTAAGGCATAACACAGATAACCTTTGCTCCAGAGTACAGTAAGTCCCGCATTTCCATCTGAGACCTCAGCAGCCAGGATTTCACTGTCCATATCACTATTACC